ATGAAAAAATAATCATCCAAGCCCTGAAAACAACTGAGGTCGGCTTTTAGGAAAATGTTAAAAGTACAAATATCATACATTTATGACTTTGAATAAACAGCCTCTCATTCATTCACATCTGTATATTATGCTTTGCACTACCTACCATTATGAACTGATAACTGTTGGTAACATTCCTGACTAACAAAGATTACACACAAATTCAATTTATAAATGTTGTTTATAAGGTTTGTGACTGTGCTGCATTATTTTACTGACATACAACAAAACATTCAGCATGAAATATTACAGTTAATCAATATGTAACACTGAAAACCGCTGTTGCTAGTAGTTTTACTGCTGCTACCACTACTGTACTACGTCTACAGCCAGTCAAGAGTTGAAGTGTCGCACACCTGAGGCAGCAGACTGGAGAGCAGGGAGCTGTGGAAACTGACCAGCGCTCCACTCAGCCTGCAGCGAGATAAACCACAACACTCAATGCAAATGTCATCGCTGATGCCTTCTTCGCTCGGTCTGAGAGAAACTAGTTACACAGTCGGTTGGTGGGTGTTTTATCTGCTCGGTGGTTGATGTAGTTTATGGAGCCATGACTGTGTTCACACAGTTTGTTAGTTGTAGACTGACTGATGACAGAGGATTTGGTTTTAATTTACATATATTTGTAGAGATTTGTTTACAGTTTGTGTAAATACCTTTTCACGGTATCTCATGTCATCCACTGAGCCAGTTAACAGTTTACCAAGATCAAAATATTATTAGAATATGAACATAACAAATACAAATTAAACTAAACTATATTTATTTATGCATTGTTAGTTAGCCAATTATTCTGTTTTAAATGTATAGTTGTTGCAGACGTGCAGATCCTCCAACATCCTCCAGGGGGTGCTACAGCAGTAATTTTGCCAGTAGCTGTCAAGACGATTTGCTTTAGACCACAGTGTCAGTAGGTCCCTGGGTTCTGCAGGACCAACATGATTCGCAACGATCTGTTACCTTCCCAACATGTCCGACAGGATGTCCAGAGCCTCTAACTGCACTGACACATCTTCCTGTTTCCCCATGGCCGTGATCAGCTGGGCAGTAATCTTCCTACACACACCGGCTGTCAGAGTCAAACCTGGCAACCCACATGAACACAAAGTCCCAGAGGGAAATCACAAAGCAACGCCACTGACAACATTAACCCTTTACCAGACACCACCAAGAATGTTCTCCGACCCTCACGATTACAGTACAATTACAGTAATCCTGGTGTTTTTCCAAGCCAACTCTTTAAAAAAACACTCTTAGGATTTGTTGTATTGTCCCTTTAACCCCAGGGAGAATGTCAGAGCTGGGGCTCTGAATAAAGAGACAATGGGAAAGAAGCACTGTATCAAATGTAGCTGGTAAATAATTACCAAAATTAGGTAAATACAGTACACAGTAGGTGGGAACATTTAAATAAATACCAAATAAACACTCAACACTAAATAGAAATACAGTTGATATTGTAAAATTCATTCAGTGTACCCACTGCTGCACCCTCCCACCACGATCATCACTATACTAACATGTTACTGTTTGTTTTTCTGTGACAATAAACAAAACATCCCGCTCATCAAAAACCTTTCGGTGCACAGTGATGTGAAAAGTCTAGTTGAGACGTTTGAACTCACACTCCTGAACACAGGAGAGACAGCCTCACCTGCTGAAGACCGCGGCAGCTCTGCGATCACGGTCTTCAGCCCCATGCTGGAAATGTCCCTCAGCTGCTCCCTCTCTGACATCATGTTCGAACACAGCACGTCCACCATCATCTCCACCTGCGGCTCCTTCACCTTGGTCACCAGAGGGGCCAGGCTGAAAACCAGAAATGTTTTTCAATTTCTTATAAAATGTGTAGAGGGGATCCCTAATACACCGCCCTGGGGTGCAGCCCATGATTCCAGCATCTACCACGGTGACCAGAAACTACTGAAATGTCAGTCAGTGACTATGAATAAACTGAACAATGGGATTCAGCTTGTCCCAGTGTGGTGGAAAAACACAGGACCAGCTTCCATTTGCAGACTCTACCCTGTGTGAGTGTGGCTTTGTGTTTTTACCATTTCACAGCCAGGTTCTGCACCTCTCCGTTCTTGTCCTCCAGCAGTTTGAGCAGCATGGTCACCACTTTCCTCTCACTGTCCTCGTCCAGTTTAATGCTGTCTTTCTGCAGCTCCAGCATCAGGTCATTGGTGGCCATGAACCTGGACACACACATAAAACACACAGAGACGGAGACACAGAAAGGATCAGAGTAGGGTGATGTAGGAGTAAACAGAAAGAGACAAGAGGCAAAGAAAGACCAAGCACCAACTTAATAAATCAACAAGTCATTAAAATGTCTGGTTTTATGTTGTTATGACAACCTGACACCAGACCACAGACACAGCTGGTGTTAAATGTGAACAGAAAAGAAATTAACTGGATCTGAATATGTTATTTTTGACTCCCAGACTCTCACCACACACAGCTGCTGGAGTTATTAGTTGATTATTGATCTGCAGATAATTAAGTGCCAACTCTTTTAAAGCCATTAGTGTAATCATTTTTAAGATCCCATGTTCCCAGCTTCGCTTTTCAGTCACACATGACAGGAAACTGAATATGTTTGAGGTTTGTCGAGTACTTTTACTTTTGGTACTTCGAGTATATTTTGAATGTAGGACTTTTACTTGAAACTGAGTATTCACACATTGTGGTATTCTACTTTTACTTAAGTAAAGGAGCGGGAACCTCTTCCACCACTGGAAACGCTCAGCTAAGTTACAGTGAATGTACTAAGTTACTTTCCACCACTGTAGGAAAGTACAACAGCCACGTTTCGCTGTTTTCGGGGATTTTAAACGATTAAACCAACAACTAAACGGCACCTTAATCAATAGCCTAATTAAAATAATTACTGGTTGCAGCTTTAGTTAACAGTAAACTTTCAAATAAATCTAAAATCATATTAATTACAACCTGTAAACAGAGAATAAATGCGTGGTGTGCAGATAAACACCACAGACATTATAAAGTGTAACACTGTGGCTCCGTCTCACCTAAAGTCTTTGTCGGTGGACGTCATTTTCTCCAACAGGTTGGAGATGTGGTAGGACACAATCGACATGTCGGTGCTCTGACAGCTGTCACCGGTGATCCGGACGTCAGTTTACGGTTCAATCAGAAAACTGAGCCAACAGATTGACCCCGACAACGTGACGAGGCTGGGGGTACGGAACCTGATACTTGGTGGGTTCAGATAAAAATAGACATGAGGGTAGAAGGTGTCCGGTCTCGGGCGCCGCCGTGTGGCCACATGGGGTTATTGTTATTGATATTGGGGGTAAAACGTCAAATGTTGGATTGAATAATGACCGTCTGTCCTACAGAAACATGTATTAACCGTATTTCTCTTAACTTGGAAGTTATCTTAATTACTTTAATTTGGCTATTTGTTGATAACACCTACAACATTTATTTTATTTTTATTTGCTTTTACCTTCCGAATACGAAGTAAACATTTGTATGTGGAACATTTGTTGGCAGGTTCTTGTTTCCACCGGCAGATACAATCTCGGACTCTACAGGAAGCGGCTTCTGCTCTTGTTGCCACGTCGGAACTGTTGGTGAAGCTAGTTAATTCATTTTTAAGAAAACCAGGAGTAATTTTCAGGAGGGTCCCTGGTAAAGCTGCGTCATGGTACGTCTGAGAACTTTGAACTGAAGTTGTCGGCGAAGTCCTTTGTTAACGGTTGTGCTACTTAGCGTTTAGCATTAGTTGCTGATATAACCAAGTAGCTAGCAGTTGGTTGGCAGAGTTGCTAATTTGGCAGAGAGCTAATCCATAAAGTTTTGCCGTTATTTCTGTGTCATTTTAATTCTGATGTATCTGTTTGTGGATTTCAGGTTTCCGTCATCAACACGGTGGACACTTCCCATGAGGACATGATTGTAGGTTGTCCACTTTGTGTAACATTAGCTGGTAATAGAAGCTAATGTTAGCATGCGCTGAATATACCGATTTTTGGATAGAATTACTGCATCTATTAAAATACTATCCTGGTGTCTTGTTGTGTGTGTTGCAGCACGATGCCCAGATGGACTACTACGGGACTCGACTCGCCACCTGTTCCTCCGATCGCACCGTAAAGATCTTTGATGTCAGAAACGGAGGGCAGATCCTGGTCGCAGACCTCAGGGGGTGAGAAACCATAACTACACCTGGAGCATCAGTCACTTCATTTAGATGAATTAATTAACATTATACACAATGCACAAGGTGTCTACAGCCACTCAGTGAGTAGTGGGATGTTTGTCTACTGTAAATGAATTAAACATTGGTAATTCCTCTACATTTAATCAAATTTCCTGAGCTCTCTAAGCTGGGCTGTGACTTCCATGTTTGTATCATGTCAGTAATTTTCACAGAGCATTTTAACTAAATGTGGGTCTCTGTGTTTGTGCAGCCACGAGGGTCCCGTGTGGCAGATAGCGTGGGCTCACCCAATGTTCGGAAACATCCTGGCTTCGTGTTCCTACGACCGTAAAGTCATCATCTGGAAGGAGGAGAACGGAGCCTGGGACAAGATGTATGAATACACCGGACACGAGTCATCAGGTCAGTCGCTCATGTGTGTTAAACCCAGGTACATTTTTTAATTAGATTATGACATTTATTGTTGAAACTATTTACTAATTTAAGTAAAGAAGACACAGTCAGTTGAGCTGTAATTTCGGTCCACTTTGACTTTATCAGATCTACAACAAAGCCAAGTTGGTCTCGAGAGCAACTGCTTATGTCTTTTCTTTTTTTTTTTTTACTCAAGCATCAGATACACATTTTTTTGGTCCGCTTCAGATTTTCCCTGGTTGCCTTGGTTACTGGGCAACATTCTGCAGCCTCTCATTCTACCTAACACATCCTGTTTTTCTTGCTCTTGCCAAACTGGCTATTCCAAGGGGAATGCTTTCCAGATAATGGTGTTCTCCAGGCATCCTGTGACACACCCATGCTTCCTGCATCAGCACTGGGAGATTGAGCATACATCCTGTGTATTGCAACTTTTAATAACCTTCTCAAATTTTCCCACACATATCATTTTTCACTTAGACCTGTTCTCAACAGTTACTTTATTTGGACCCTTGACACATTTGAAATACAGTCGATACAAAGTCACGCTAACATAAATACCATTATAATAAATCCCACTTCTCCTTCCAGTACCTTACATGCATAGTAAGACTCAATTATTTAGTCAAGCTACACCTCAAACTCCCACAGCCTCCAGCAAGCAGAGTACAATGTATTATTTATTAAAATATGATGAAGTCAGTTTTGCAGTGTCTGGTTACTGAGTGGTTTGGAGTCTGTAAATCTACTCTGCTGTGTTCACAGTGAACTCTGTGTGCTGGGGTCCCTACGAGTTTGGTCTGATCCTGGCCTGTGGAAGCTCCGATGGCGCCATTTCACTTCTCACATTCACTGGGGATCAACAGTGGGACGTCAAGAAGATCAGCAACGCCCACACTGTGAGTTTGACACACAGTTTTGAGTAATGTGATACAGTAATGTTTATTTCCTTCATTGTGTAAGATGAAATGCCTCCTTGAATGTTTGAAGTCCACTCTGTTTATCAGTCCTGTTCTTTACTGGGTCTACACTCGGTTGAATTCCATCGCAGAGAGCTATGCTGCTCTTTTCAGATTTGTCTTTATTAATTCAGGTGTGATTGTCCTGCAGATTGGCTGTAACGCGGTGAGCTGGGCTCCTGCAGTCGTTCCAGGTAGCCTGATCGATCAGCCGTCAGGACAGAAGCCAAACTACGTCAAACGCTTCGTCTCCGGGGGCTGTGACAACCTGGTCAAACTCTGGAAGTGAGCTGCTGTTTCAAAGACTTTCTGACATATGAAGTTTTCTGTGTAATGTTTAGTGACTACATCACTTTATTGTTGGGGATTACGGCAGCATTTTTCCATCATGATCTGAACTCGGTGTGTTCACACTGCACTGTGTCGGCAGTGGAAGAAGGAACATTTCAGCTTCTATGCCGACCTCATGTTTGTGTAAAGGGGAACGGGTCGTGACGTTTTGATGACGTGTGTTTTTTCTGCGATTCACCGCCGGAGTTTCTCCTCTGTCCTCCATGAGAACATATGCTTTGTATTTATGATGTGTGTTAATGTCCTGTTGAACGTTATACCTCTGCCTACACAGGGCTGTGCACGCTGCAGCTGTAGAGAGATGATATAATGCATCTTCAAGTCAGCATCATTTTTGTGTGACCCCTGAAAATACAACATGCTTCCCAGCCCTATTCCCACATTAGCATAGCATAACTGACACAGGGAATGTAGGATCTTTTCTTGTAAGGAACACACCTAAAAATGAAATTAAAAAAGTTTAGGGAAA